TGAATGGATTCGGCCTATTGTTGGTCTGTTGATCATTTTAGCAAGAGAAGACTGGTTTCTAAGTTTATAGATGGTATATTGGCACTTTTACTAACCTGGCCTATCTAAAATTGTTGTAATTTTAAAAATTGATTTTAGTTAGAAAAAATGTAGTCTGCCAGCTTCACGTGCCACTTGGCTTACAGCGGACATTCGAGAAAGATTGTGTAAATAATTGTATATAGTTACACGGAAACAAGGTGGTGATTTTAATAGTTTCCAAGGGATACAACTGTGTCACCACATCCTGCATACAGCAGTGGGGTTTCTCACTTACACACATCAGTTCTCGGGCATGTTGGTCTCATAATTCGGAACTTATTTTAAATTTACGAAAAATCATTCCCAACACCTATGCATATAACTTCTACAACCGATTTTCGCCTTTACATACCCCTTGTATCATACTCTATTGTGTAGAATCTCCATCTTGAACACAGTGTGTGAACTTGCATGACTATAAGAACTCGCGCAAACACGCACTGACGGGAACTGGTTCATAAAATCCCTAAAATATCTCCTAAAATCGCGGGAATAATATGTAACTAGTTATTCCTATACCTAGCTGATAACAATCTGTCGGATAACGATAAATGGATACACATATACTACGTTAGGTTGACTGCCAAGTCTGAAGGTGTAACACAGCGTTTCATTGACAGTGTACCTGACGATTCTTGAAAACAAAAATATAAAGAAAACGTACTCAGTCCTCACCTAGCTGGCTGGGCGCCCCAAGTAGCTCTTTCATGCATGTGCAACAGGGCTAATAAATCATTACATGTATAATCTTTTCAGTGATATTTGTTTATTTTATTGATTTATATAAATATAGCAAGGGAGTCCTAATTTTGTTTTGTTTTGTTTTTGGAGGGGTACGGAGTTTCTGGTCGTGTTACAATTTATTATATATTTTTGAACATTACTGTGGGAATGTGCAACAATGTGATTGTCCTTTTTGTATGTGGCTAAACTAAAACAGCTCTACCTGCATCTTTCTAACTTTAGGAGATATCAATAACTTCATTATAATGTCATCACTTACTAGCATTCAACCAGTAGAAACTGTTTTCTGGATCAGATGAGTAGGTGAATGGCTCAACTTGTATACGTGTTCGCAATTGTCGCTGATGGAGAACAGACTGTTTTTTGCCTGCCATTGTTATTTCAGAACTAAACATGTTTTGTTATTAACATGTCAAAATTCATTACCAAAAGTTTTCAACAATAACTGTTTTAAATTGTATGATAATGGAATTTTATAAATTTAAGGCAAGGTTGATTCCAACTTCCCGACTCGACGGTCTAGGCTCGTGTATCCCCGTATCTTCAAATAATGCAGATTGCGTCTAACTTGAACATTTCAGCAGCAATTTCATCTGTTAGGCCAACAAACCTTAATTATTTGGTCGCCATATAAACTGAGAACAACAATCAATTTTGAGTGTAGAATTAAACATAGAAGATGACAAAATGAGAAGTTTATATATCAATTAAATTAAAAGACTAATTATTAAAAATGAATTGGGTTGTTTTTAACAGTTAAGAGATTTGTCTGACATCACTGTCAATTAATGTCTAATAATTTTCCTAACTGCATAAGGCTTTTGTAAGAGCCATCGTATACATCTTTTGATGCAAAACTAGCTTCAGCGCAACCGCGAAAGGTGTACTGTAAACGCACATTATTCGCTTCGTACAGCATTTAAAGTTTGCAATGAAGCATTCTCAGGCAAAGTGTAATACCCGTTTTGAGTTGTTGCTTATCGAAATTAGTGATGCGCTATTACTTATACTAACAAGGTATATTCAACTGAGAGGAGTCAAGTGACCTATGACCGTTATCACCCTTTGAGGTAAATTATGCGGAACAAAGTATCAACACTTAATGACACTGTAGCTCTCTTGGCAGATGTTCCTTGGCGTGATGGTTTTCCAATAATAGGTACTCTAATAATTTGCCTTTAAACTAATCATCTTTAACCATAACAAGAAGACATAACTATACCAGTGACGTCATAGTGAAGGGTATTAATTATGCAATATACAGTCTTCTTCTGGCTTCTGTCTTTGAATTTAAACGAGGAAAATGGATGTGAGGTAGGATACAGTTGGCTTGCTTGTATTTTAATGCACGGAGATGATTTACTAAGGTGTAGATGATCAAGGGGTTTAACTCGTCTAAAGGAAGTTGATATTTTTCACAGAGAGTAGGAGCCGTGATTAACTTGAGAGTCTCCGTGCTTTCAATAGCTTGTAAACTTCGCTATTGTATTCGCACACCTTCCCGTTCGTTTATAGCCACCTGCCGTTTTTAAAATATATAGCATCAAGAATATAAAAATGTTCCTAACTTAATAATTCATTCCTCAGTTTATAATTTCTAACCTGACTCTTACCAGGGGTCCCAAACATTGTCACTTGTTGGCGTTTTGCATCAAACATAAGTATCTTTAGTAACACGGTCGCTATATTTGCTTTGATGAGTCTATGTTTTCCAGCAACATGTGTGATCATTCACCATCTATGATAATCTCAATATTCCGGAAATGTTAGAGTTACATCTTTTTCAAAGAATGTGTACAAGATTTCTTCCATTTTTCTGCGTTGAAATTTCTTGTAGAAATATTAAAGCAAGATAATACTTATATTGGACGCAGACGACACCGTTTGACTGCAATATTGAATCTGGCTCTGAATCTGAATGTATATAATGTATATAGGTAGGGCCAGTTACGGCATAGAATTGCACCGGAGGAGAAAGCCGCTAAAACGTTGGTATAATTGTTCAGAGCTGTCTTGAAGCTCTCCACTGTTAACGAGTACACACCAATGTCACTAAAATGATTCCAGTCCACAATTGCTTTTACGAAGAAAGAATTTCTAAATTGTTCTGTTCAACAATTTTCAACTGTGAAGCATCTACTGCTGTTTGTTTCTTTATTTCTACAATGTTTTCAGTTACGAAGTTAGGGAAAGATTAGCTTTGATTTAACTCTTATGTATTATTGTTTTTAGACATACGTTGGGTAAGAGATCCGGCACTAACCTCTCAACCACTTTGGTCAGTAGGATCATTCTTCACCTGTCTTGAGGGGTTGATATATCCATGTCACTTAACATTTTGGTGACGCACCGTGCTTCACTTGTTTTTGTAATCACCAGATACAAATTTTGCTGCCAGGCGTTGATCATTGTCGACTTTGTCCATATCCTTGGTGTGACAGGGATCACAGACGAGACAACTACACGGATATAACTTATGCTATATAGGTTGATCGTCTGCATGTCTGTGGATAGTGTCTGATGTTTCTTTTGAGAAATACCAATGAAAAGTTTGTATTATCGGTCGCTTTGATGATTCGAGATTCCCACTTGAAGTATTCAGATAATATTAGACCAAAATATGTTTTCACTGACATGTTGTCAGTGGGTAAGCATCCAGAGTCAACCGACAATTGGTAAATCGCTCGCGATCTAAAGAGGCTTGTTGGTGATCAGTTTTTCAGGATTATGTTGGCAATGTTGTCTGGTCAACCTGAAATGATTGTATTCATCCCATTGGTTTGTCTTTTTAGCATCGTTGTAAAACTGTGTTATACGTTTTACACTCTTTTCAGTCTTTTACTAAACCGTGGCACAGATTGTCATGTTTTTGAAAAGTTTTGATGGAATATTTTGTACATTATGTTAGATATCATGTTCTTATAACGAGACTATAGAGTTTTAACAATAATTCCATTATTGTATTCTTCATTAATATTTTTGGGTAGATGGTATGCTTCTAAATCGATAGTGTCGCAGTCAGTTTGGAGCACAATTGCTGTTCTGGAAACTAGAAAAGGACAACGAGCAGTCTACATGCTTATTTACATATCGAGCTTCCGTTTGTTTTGAAACACCAACAAATTGACAGTGTTATAGATCTCATGGCGAATCAGGTTAGAAATTATACATTGATGAATGAAATGACTAGGTTTAATGCATTTTTATATCATTGATGCTTATCGTTTTTAATATGAGGGTGGGTGTATGAAGAATATGAATATTATTAAAAAGCTCTGAAGACAGTCGTCCAGGGAGTATTCCAGTTCGTTAAAGCAACTGCTTTTGTTAAAGTAAGCACCTACTTCATAATGACCAGAAAACCCCCCAAACATTCCGAACTGTTAGTTTTTAAACAAAGTGAATTTAATTTGATTATGATAATGCAAATGAGTTAAATTATTTCAGACCAGAGCTATCGGGCCGCGTTGGAAAACCTAGAAAGGGTCCGTCAGTACTGGGAGAACGACATGGAGGTCGTGTGTCAGGTACGATTTCTTAGTGTATGCAGTTCAGCTCACAAATTGGCCTGATCTGCGCACTCGATGAAACTAGACCAATTTATGATGTAACGTTCATACTTTAATTTGATGAAAGAACAATAGCTCAGCATATAAGTAACTTTATCATATAGGTTAGAGCCCTAATGTCAGTAGCAGAAACCATTATCAATTCTTTGTTTAACGTTAAAGGTTCTCAAATTTATGTATTTTCAGATTATATGTATAATTCTCATTTACATTTAGATCAGTTATCATTAAAACGGTTTTCCAACTGATTTTATAAAATAAATGTTGCCTGTATAAGAATTGTGTTCTAACTGAGGCTGCAAACTCAGGCTTTGAAAATATTGTAGGTAAAAATGGCTTAAAATAGCTGATTTACAATTGCAGCTCTGGCTGAGGCATTTCAACCTGAATATTTATCTTACATAACTGAACCCAGATATATCCAATAACATGAACATAGCTGTACTAAACAAGTAAAAACATGTTAAGAACTGAGAAACTGCTACAAGGAAATCGTATTTACTGATGTGTCTACATTTTAATGTTATTCGGTACAGAATATTTGTTATATTGATTTGTGAAATATTAGCTGATGGCTTTCTTCTAACGTATATTTTAACCGCTCCGGTGGCCTCGTGGTTAGAGCGTCCGCCTCAGATGCGGGAGGTCGTGGGTTCAATTCCCGGTCAAGTCATACAAAAGACTTACAAAAATGGTATTAACAGCTGCCTCGCTTGACGCTTGACGCTCAGCATTAAGAGGTTAGTGTTATGACTGGTCGGCCTGGTGTCAGGATAATGTGACTGGATGGGTCATCATGCGAAATGTCTTTGGCTGATGCCCCAGTGTTAGACATCACTATAAACTGCCACACCGCAGACATCGTATCGATATGACTGAAAAATTGTCAAAGCTACGTTAACAATTATAATCACATCACATCACATAATCACATCAAACGTATATTTAATACATAGAAACTGAATATAACCATCCAGGTACATACGGTAAAACATGATTACAGCTGAGTAGATACAATCTACGAATAATGTGTGTAACCATCCAGGTACATACGGTAAAATATGAACAATCTACGAATAATGTGTGTGTTTATATATCTATATCTATATATATATATATATATATATATATATATATATATATATATATATATATATATATATATATATATATATATATATAATCTAACTGTAAAAAAAACTTACTCTAGGAAACGTCCTTATATCTCGCTCTTGTGTTTAGCTGGATGATTGCCAGCTATATTCTGCTCTTCTGTACAGAGTAAATATATTTTATCATTTTTAATAAAATTACGTGTTTAATATGTTAGTCAGCAAAAAGTTTTAAGAGAGTTCATTAAATGGCCTTCCTACATGCACTGGATAAAAACAATTGAGAAAAGCCTAAGTGCTTTCGGAATCTACCAGTTCCTTTCTGGAGGACACAAATCCACAAAAAGACGAAACCGGAACGAAACACAGAAAGGAAGTACTATACAGAGTCTATATAATGGCTGCTGTAAATATACACATAGACGATATACAATGAAACAATGCAGCAGGTTGAATGAGATTGAACTTTGCTACTTTTTAGTTCTTGTAAGACGGAAAAAGACTAGAACAAAGGTTTCACTAAAGAGGGTTTTCTCTTACTTGGTTTTGTTGTTGTTGTTGGTGTGGTGGTGTTGTTTTTCTTGCGGGGGTCGTATTTCGATTATAGAACACTTACAACCAATTTGAAAATTAAGTTATTTATAAACACGGATTTAATGCCTCAGACGCGCATGTCTTATACATCAAAACGTATATGTCAAAATAGGAAGCAATCCAATGAGATCAAATGGCCGTATATGGTGACGTAGTAAGAAGGTCAGAAATAAACACTTTGTGCCATCTACAAATTGTCCAATTACATTCATTTTTCCTCATCTAATATTTTCTTGAACTGATGATTTCTAAAAACTTGCACAAGTTATGCTCTAAAGTAGTACTGCATCAGTGAATGAATAATAAATAATAGCTTAAAAACGCTTTTTAAAAATAAATTTATTAATTTGTAGATTTTTATATTAAAACTTTATTTTTGTAAAAAAAAATGAGTTAAGACCATGGGTTTGAGAAAGCGAATTAATGGCAGAAAAATATTATTTGGGGTACTTGTAAACTGATTGTTACATAATCACAAAAACAAATGCCTGTTTGTAATTTTGTTCGATTTAAACCGCTGGGTTTGATTGTTCTCTGAATTTCCTTTTTCTGTGCTTTATTTTGAGTTAAGGGCAATCCATGTGAGTATTGCAGCGTTCAAAGTACGGCAGGGAGAAGATAAATGTTTCGCCATTGTGCTCGTTTTCCAATTTGATTTGCGAAGAGTCTCTAATATTTAATGTCTGCGGTTCTAACAGATTATAAATCATAATTTCTACGTTTCTGACAGGTTATATATCACATGACAGTATAATATTTTACAACGAGATATATTTTGTTTGTAGCCTATAATTTGCTGAAAAATCGTGTTAGACTCCACTAAAACAAAACAAAACCAGTGGCAAAGTTGCATTCGTCCACGACTCCATTTAACTAGCTATCATGTATCTGTGTTACTCCACAAGCATATATCTCGATGTGTATCTGACGTACATCTATACATTCTTTTTTCAATTGTTATTCTATCGATCGATCGGCGTTAAATTTATTTGCAAGTTATAAGAAAACAAAATATTTTACCCAAATATTCAGAAACTTTTTAAACGACAAATTTTGTGTGTAGAGAAGTAGGTGAGTAAATATCCACGTTACTATGATAAATAGGTACATCAATGAATCAGTTTCTTAATATCTCCAGTCAAAATAATTTAGTTAATCATTGCAACTAAATTTATGAGTTATTTGTTAGAGTGTTGTCAAAATAAAATTCATATTTTTATCCTACTATTGATTTTTAACTAGTTCTTTCAAGACATTGAGGAGAATCGAATCTACTTTCTACGAGATTTGTTTTGGAGATGTACAAATGTTGATTCCCGCATATGTGTGGATCAAGACGAAGTAAGTCATAATCCAATATATATATATATATATATATATATATATATATATATATATATATATATATATATATATATATATATATATATATATATATATATATATAAACAAATAACATTCCCATAACATCTTGCTCTTCTTCCTTCACCATCACAAGAGGAAAACGTATACGAACAAATATCCCAACCTCGAGTAAACTTAGATAATATGATAAGCTCAAACCATCAGGTGGCAATGATTAGTACACCAAAACAACTAGCAAAAAATCCCGACCCATCTGACCACCCGAATAACTTAACTATATAAGGTGGTCACAAGCCAGGACCATCAAGGCCTCTCGCACAAGACGGTAACCAATTTGACTTACAATAGAACTCCCGCAGTAACCGGAAGGAACCTAACAATGGATATTCAACCGGAAGGAACCTAACAATGGATATTCAATAAGCCAGGCACTATAATTGCTTATAATGCCAAACCATCAAACCCGGTCGCAAAACGTGACGATGATTACAATCTTAGAACTAGTAAAACCATCATATAGTTATTAATGGCATAGGGGGTATTTCGCATCAATTCACAAATGTTAAGAGCAAATTGTCAACTTGAATCTCCGGAGTCCTTCACCGCAGCGCTTTCACCTTCGCCCGCCCTTGCAACATTCAGTCATAACACCAGATTTATTAAAGAATGTTTAAAATCCATCTACATTTTTATTAATTCGTCATGTAGAGATGAAAACGTTCTTAAAATAAATGAAGCTTAGCATAATTCCAGCCATTTATTTGTATGAAATATAACATTTATAATGGTTGAATACTTAACAGTTTCAATGGCTGTAACTACCACTTAGGAGACCTCTGGAAAAAATTTAAAAAGTTTGGAAAAGACGAGAGACTTTGAGAAAGAAATTGAAATTTGATCGGATGAACGAAACATTAGATACATTAAAAGAAATAAAAACAATTTTCAATACTAAATTTTTGATCAAAGTTCTTTTTTTTAAAAAAAATAATAATACATTACACCGCACCTGGAGGAAACAGAAGCACACGAATTACTTTTTCCTTTTTTGGCTAAGTGGGGGGACATAAGTCTGGTGCCCCTCTCCCCCAAGAAAAACAAAACAAACAAAAACAAAACAAAGTAATGAGAAATATCACTAAATAGATTTCTTAAAAGGTGAAATAAATGCTTAAGTGCGTCAAATTGGGGTTGAAAAATGGACCACCCTGCTGTAATCTATGCGTGTTTCTTTTCGTAAGGTGATATAAATCACTTAGATCTTCGATAAAGCATATGGTTTTAGAAAACGATTAAAACGTCGTTGCTAAAAAAGGGACTAAAAGAGTTACAATGTTTATCAACACAAAATGAATGCCGTAAAGCTCCGTGGGGAGCATTGATTATTTTTGGTAAAGAAAAAACTTTCGAAATTCAGAGCGCCGTCTGTTGTCATAATGCCATGCTAAACTCTAGTATGCCATTATGATAACAGATGGCGATACGAGTTGAATAAACACAGACGATACTGATAAAACTTAGTATTTTGCAAGGCCAAGTCTGTGTGAAAACAGTTGCAATGATGTAATTGTAACATGGCAAGTTTATAAATAAAATATACAAAACTTGTAAAAACTGGCCATACGACAAACTACAGAATAAGTTCAGTAGTTGTCAAACTGCAAGATAAAATGATGCAGAAGGAAAGTAGAATTAAGCACTTGAAAGCAGCCGTTTACAGCTTGCATCAATGAAGAATAAAAAATATTCATGACTTGATTATGAATGTAGCACTTGAAAGCAGCCATTGACAATAATGCAGAAGGAAATTAGCACTTGTAAACTGCAGTTTGCATCAATTAAGAATACAATATACATGAATAGAATTATGAAAGTAGCACATGCAAACAGCCATTTACAATAATGCATCAAAGAATATTGGCAAATACAATTATCGTGGCAATCCATCTCCATACTTACATGGTAGTTTGCACTGGACTGCCTGCTCAGACTGTATCTGCTTAGAAACATAAGTTGATAACAGTCTAGAGAAGAAAAATAACATAAAAGTTGCAACCACTTGCGGGTCACTTACACATCGAGAGGAAACAGTGATCACGCCTCTTGATTATGTCTGGACATTAATGAAATCATAACGTCATATTGTGCATGAAATAAAAAATAAGACTGTTAATATAGACTAAATTCCACGTAAAATGCTCTTCCTGAAAAATATTTTTTTAAAAAAATGTTAACGACAAAGATGTGATTTACTTTACTTTGGTTTTTATTATTAATTTATTTAACTTTAGTCACTATTTGTAACTCTGTCTATCGCCACATGATTTGCGGTCCTTGGGTTTCATTTTCCGCAGGCCTTGGCATATAATAGCGGTGAAAACCGAAGATGGGTGGGTGATCCAGGCTAGTTGTCCAGAAAAATAGTTTTTAGCTATATATTCCAGGTTTCTCACGATTTTCTCTGATGAGTGCTTATTATCGGGGATACTACTAAACAGAATTTAATTGAATTTTAAGATTTGTCTCCCCTTTTCAAGCGTCGTACTTATTAAAATAAATATACAGCATCAAAAACATATAAAATAAATGTTATCATACTTAA